TTCTTACAGAATTTTCCATACAACCTCTCAAAAATACCTCCCTACCTTATTATTTGCCATCAAATAGAAAACTATTACACTACACATAATGAAAACAGTTACCATCATTTTATATTATATTTAATGAATTTATTGAGCAATCTACATATGTACTATATCAGGTCTGAAGTTGCTGGGTTGCCCATCAGCTAGCTGTGGTACGATACCATTAAAGCATTCCAGACCAGTGCTAGACTGTGGTCAGCTTCAGAAATATTCAGATTCAGGAGCAAGAAACCACATCTCTCACTTTGATTTATTTACCAGTAAATACACGAATACTACAATTATAATGAAAATATCTAAGATTTTCTGAAACGGTTTCCCAGTTGACCCACCATCTGCTGAAATACATGGTGCTTTTTTTAATACTTTTATAGTATAAACTGGACCCACCCTTGTTCAAACATCACAAGACATGGTGCCATTTTGCCGCGGTAAAATTACCAATACAAAAACGACAAGCATTTCGCAATATATAAACCAAAGCACTTCGCTTATCTTACTTCTAAATCTACCGGTATCTACATACCTAATATATCTTCACAGACATTCTACAAAATCAAAATTCGGCATGACAGAATCAATCGACAATGCGAAAAGCGAGTTTTAAATTGCTGCCGGTTAAAACGAATTACACAAGTAATTTAACGCAAATAAATACCTTTGCCGCTTTCTCTTTCTTTGAGAAATAGCCCCCAAGTTTGTCCTTAACAGCTTCGACGGTCGCCTTGCCATTCCGCTGTTCTTCGACATAGCTAGCCGTGTCGTAGAGCTTCTGCAATTCTTTCGTTCGAAGTCCTTCCTCTGCCAACTCAGCCAAATAGTCTTCGACTCTCGAGGCCCAATCCCTGACCGTCTCTTTCGTCAAGTGGTTTGTATGCACAAAGCACACCACGTACAACAATATCAACGTTTTTGCAAGCATGAATGCGTCCGGAATCGCGCACCGAGGTCAACGCAGATTCAACTCAGCGCCGCCCGCAAAATAGCAATACTCTGGCGAGAAACGTTCCGGTTTCAAGAACGGAAATGTCCAATGCAGCGTAAACTCGTTTATAGCGTAGAAATGGATACTTTCAGCTGCATGGCGTTCTCAGTTCGATAAAAAAAAACCCAACAAAAACACTTTACTTCATCAAAATTTAGCTCAGATCAAAAACTCATCAAAATGTAAATGTCAACATAGAGGACCCAAGATATTTTGCCAGATGTTGGACAGTGGGCAGGGCCAGCTATCAGTATAGCCTGCGAGTAGGCTCTTTGACAGATCATATATCAACCTCAATGATTTACACACGTAAAAATCTCACATTTGTACCAAGTCTGTTAACAAGCCGTCAACAAGTTGTGTTCGCACTGCTTGTCCCAAGTTGTTTAGAAGTTTGGTACAAGCTATTAACAACTTGTAACAGCCTTGTTCATATTATCAGCCTTGTTCATATTATCAGCCTTGTTCATATTATCAGCCTTGTTCACAATCTCGTTCCCAGAGTATGCCTGTTCGCGGGTTAGGTACCGCGAACAGGCATACTCTGGGAACGAGATTGCCTTGTTCATATTATCAGACTTGTCGCAAGGTTGTTCCAACAAGTCCGATACAGTCATGATATAACAATATTGTTACAACCTTGTGTCGTCAACCTTGTCACATTCTTGTTATATCACGATTGTATCGGACTTGTTGTAACAACCTTGTGACAAGTCTGATAATGCCATCAAGCTTGTTACAATTTAGTTGTTAACAGCTTGTTACTTGTTACAACAACTGGGAACAAGCAGTGCGAACACAACCTGTGAACAAACTTGTAACAACTTGTGCGTTTTTACCTGTGTACACTGTAAAAATCTCACAACTTGTCAACAAGATGTGTTCGCAACAGGCTTGTAGCAAGCTTGTCATTTCATCAAGTTGCTGCAGGGTTGTCACTCACAACTTGTTAAGGAATTGTTGAATTGCAAGACGATTGCAACAATTTGTAACAAGTCTGTTGAGCTCAGTAACCTTGTAGCAAGTTGTTAACAAGCCGTTGACCAACTTGTCAACAAGCTGGGAACAAGCAGTGCGAACACATCCTGTTGACAAGTTGTTGGAACAGCATTGCTACAAGCTAGTCTACTACAGTTTTTTTATGCGTGTACACAAGTAAAAACAGACATGTTGTTCCAGGTCTGCAAACAAGTTTTTAAAAATGAGTTCACAAGCTGTCGACAAATTGAGTTCGCACTGTTCGTTCCTAGTTGTTGTAACAAGTCTGGAACAAGCTGTTAACAACTTGTAACAAGTTTGATGGCATTATCTGATTTGTAACAAGGTTGTTCTAACAAGTCTGATACAGTCATGATATAACAAGAATGTTCCAAGGTTGATGACACAAGGTTGTAACGATATTGTTATATCATGACTGCATCGGACTTGTTGGAACAAACTTGCGCCAAGTCTGATAATTAATATCAAGAAGGTTGTTACAAATTGTTAACAGCTTGTTCCAAACTTGTTGACAACTTGGGACAAGCAGTGCGAACACAACTTGTTGACGGCTTGTTAGCAAACTTAACACAAGATGCGAGATTTTTAATTTACGCGTGTACTCTGGTACCCTGGAACCAGAGGGTATTTATTTTCGCCTGTTTTGAATAACCCTCTGGTGAAATTGGCGTAGTTTTCGGGTTCACATTCCACACATAACTTTCAAAAATGGAAGCAAAGAGTTGATTGGCTGCTGACTATAGGTTCGATAGACTACGTGTTCTGATTGGATATTGTAAACATCATAGCCTGTTCGCAGGCGTTTCGTGTTTTGATTGAATTGAAACATTTGAATTTTGAAATGTCTATACTATTAAATAAACGAACAAAAGTTGAAAGAAGCAGTTTTATAGGCTGCATTAGGGGCGACATCCATACTCAAATTGCCACGCAAAACGTCATTTTGACGTTTTGAGTGGGTGGGTGTGTTTTCAAGAGTCAGTTTGACGTTTTGCGTGGCAGTTTGAATTTTTTTAAATCAGAAAATATTGAACACATGTGCAGGGATGATTTTGGATGTATATGTAGAAGTTAACTTGAAGAATTTGTGTATTTCACTGTACCAAAGGCTTTAAAACACGTTATCAGTTTTCGCGAAAAAACGAAAAATATTTAATACAGGTATAAATTTATATCATTATTTAAAACTACTTGGGCATTGATTTGAAGCATTACTCACTGGTAACACCTTTGAGGTCTCCCTTCTATAGTTTTAATAACAATAGTCAATATACAGTACACTTGACGTTTTCAGCACTGGGTGGGTGGGTCAAAACGAAAACGTCAAAATGACGTTTTGCGTGGCAATGTGAGTATGGATGTCGCCCCTTAATAGATAGATTGATAAATTTCCTGAATTAAAAGTTTAACGGAGCATCAATACCGCGCCTTGTCCAATTTGATTCACATTAAAGATGTATTTGCATCTTGCTATCGGTTATGGGAAGAGTTTAATATTCCAAAGTTCTAACACCGAGAGTAGCACGACGACTTGGCAAAAGCCACAATTTTCTGGAGAAACCCATCTTAATAGTCATTTGCAAATTGAACTCTTTCATTGACTCTCACGTCCGTGAACTAAGAAAGCGTGGATGCCGTGTTACTTCACTGTCAAATGAAGAGGACGAGAAAGCAATACTATAGATGGAGAGTTTTATACATTCGCATTTTGTAATCCCGAGTCCATTATTCGAAATGCGAAATGGAGAGGAATATTCCTCTCCATTTCGCATTTCGAATAATAGACTCGGGATTACAAAATGCGAATGTAAACTTATATGAAACCATATGGTTTCATTTGAAATCTACAAGACAAATTTGCTTGCTGTTGTATTAACAGACAAAGTTCACGTCGAGGTTCACGTCGGCCCAAAGAGGTGCGTTTAATAAATTTATAAAATACAGATTTTTTTGAATGTATATTGCAAGACTAAAGTGAATGAATATAAATATATATTTATATTAAATTGAATAGATGTGATGTTTTAAATTGAATGAAATTCAGGAGAATGAATATTGCTACAAATGGGCAGGCCGCAGGCATACAGTAAACATGCGATAAAACCCTGTCTAGACGGCCTGGCGTCAAGGATAATGATTGGATAATATTTTTAGAATATGATGCATCAAGCCATTATACATTTTTTGCATTCTTTATCCGAACCAGAAATCGCTAACAAATTCACCAGAGGTTTTCCCTTTTTCTTCGCGCGTTTTCTCGCATTTCGCGTTCGCCAAACCTAAAAAAACCTCTGGGCCAGGGTAGTACTCTGGCCCTTCCGCGCGCAATTTTGCCATCCTAAGCGCATTCCTTTACTGTATCTACTGATAAAACTATCCAGTATCACTAAAGTTAGTTTAGTTTAACCGAATATACTATATGTTTAAACAATAAAATTGCTTGGTTTCACACAGATAATAGCCTGCTCGCAGGCGACATGAATAATTAATATATATTTCAAAATAAACCTAAATATTTTAATATTACACAAAATATATCTAACCTCGCGTGTAACCAAAAGAAAGAGGTCTTAATTCTAACTGAACCAATTGATAACTAAATAATATATTACTATTTAAAGTGCCAGGCTTTTTTCTATATAAATTCCGTAGTAAAAGAACATTATTTTGTGGCCTGCTGTTGATCGGTTCAACCCGAGAGATAGACGACAGTTCCTTGAGGGCCCCCTATACCTCTTCACAATATGCTTTCACGTAAAATATTTTGCCTTTTCACGAGTCACGGATTAAGAAAATCATCGATCACGTTTCACGGCTAAGTAAAATAAGCCCTTCACACTTCACGCAAAAAGTATAGGGGGCCTGATCACGTTTCACGGCTAAGTAAAACAAGCCCTTCACGCTTCACGCAAAAAGCATAGGGGGCCCTCTTCCTTGCGATTTCAAGATGGAGACGTTTGTGTTGAAAAAGTCAATTAGACCGATAATCATCACAGCGATTTATAACATAGTACGAGGGATGATGCTCAGGTTTATATGGTATTGTGTGATGAAGAGAAAATGGATTTTGTTGAACGATAAGCGACAAAATATAAAGAAAAGATGGAGGAAGTGACTTTCTTGATTTGACCTCTTCCTCTTCCGGTATCGTTTCATTCTTCACATAATGTTTCGAGTCCTCTAGTTCTGTGGTAGAAATATGATGGTTATAAATAATGTCCTATACTGCTATAGGACATATATAATATGGACACAGAACTCTGCAATTGAAAAAAAAAACATCGACTGAAACCCGATCCTTGAAACAGGGGTAGCCAACCCCAAACGAGCGTGTGTGGGGGGGGGGGGGTTCTAATCCTCCAGGGGCGAAAATGTTTCTTTTTTTAGGGTCTGCGAGACGCAATTTCATGCAATTTTAAATACATTTTATGATAATCTGAAAGCCATAGATTTGGTATATTTTATATCATAGATGAAAACATCTATATTCGACACCACCCCCCCACACACACACACACCCATTCTCCCCAGAATAACGAATACATTGTGCAACTCAAAAGCGAATACCTGGTGGAATTATCATCAAATATTCCATTTCTAGAAATTCCTAAAAAAAATTAGAAAACCAGTTTGTATTAAACCTTCGTTTCATCAAGACAATTCTTCGTCGTTCAATATTGACGAAACAACAATTTTATAGCTGGCCAGGTTTGTTGGAATACAGTAATGAAGAAAAAAGAACGCTTGTTGCAAGATGTTTTCCTCAGTCGGCTAGCTTTCTTTTACAATTTAAGCAAAATCTAAGACCTGTTTCAAACGTCGCGCTTCTCGTGTGCCGAACGCATTAAAAACAATATATAATGAGGCATTTCAGCTGATTATCTATTGTTTTTAAACGCATTCAGCACATGAGAAGCGCGACGTTTGAAACAGGCCTTAGGCCGCTTTATAAGTTCAAACGTCTCACTTTTCATGCACCGAACATAAATGAATATATATAAGTTGAAACAGTGAGTTTTGGTCATCTCATCAGGGTTCGGCAAGTAACCGTGTGCAGTGTTTGAACCAGACATAACAACTCTACTTACGGCGCTCATTTTTGGCACTTCGTTTGTTTTATTCAGCCTAAACGTACAAAACAAAAGAGTGAGGAACGGATTATTTAAATATTTATTGCCAACCACAAGATTGTGTCCTAGCAAAGCCTGAGGTATTATGCGGCATTACTTCTATCACCTATCGATGCCCAAAGTCCCAATATTCACCCATAATATAAAGTTAATATTTAGTACTAACGATGATCCCTAGCCTGCGTGGCAGACGATCTACCCGCGGCGGAACACCCGAAAGGCGGGCGAGGCTTGAGAGGTGCTTTGATGTACGAAATTGAGTTCATTCTCAGCGGGAAAGATGGCGGTTAGGACCTCAGTCGTGCCCTAGGATGTGTTCCAATATATTCAGTCTAAAGCTGCGTTTACACTGTAACGGATAACCTTTCATAGCGACGTGAAAAATATCTATCCGTACCTTTTAGGAACGCTATTTTCAGAGGAATGATTGCAACGGAGAGATGTTGTTTCGCTCAGCTTCTGAAAGTTGTACATTCCGTATCGCCAGCTATTTGGTACAGTGTAAACATAGCCTTATGTTATGAGAACTCTTCGCACATGAGAACTCTTCGCTGAGCTAACCGCCGCGAGAGACGAAGCGTAACAAGTCTCTCAAAACTCATATATCGAACACGATAGATCTTTGTGTCATGGTCCTACGAAGTAAAATTCTCAGCCAAAAAAAATAAGCCCTATCGTCAAACAGCAACGCGAGGCCGTCGTTACCTCAGTAACAAGCTGTCGTGTACCGACAGGCTACCGAATCTAGACTTGCCTTCATGCTTTCCTATCAAAGAAGTTTTTTATTTGCGAGTTAGAAATGGCGCAAATCCTGTATACTTACAACTGGCATCCGAGATGCTTCTCCGCTTCGTCCAAAAATACCACAGGACATTGTTCAATACTATTCATTCTTTCCAACTTGAAATTCAAGAATCGAACTTCTCCAGATCTGCAAAGCCAGAAACTAGGGCAATATCATTAAAGTTGAACAAGTTTAGCTCGAACGTGTCATATGTGGCTAAGGCCAAGTACAAATATTCAAATAAACAGCTGTTAAAAACAAAGAACGTGTTTGCTCATGTGTCACTAAATACACTTATACGCAAATTATCAACGCACGTCAATGCATATCTTCCTAATTTGAACGGCTTTCTGAAGCAAAAGTAATCGGTGTTTGTGACAACCTCGCAAGCCAGGGTCTTTAGCGGGGTTGTGTTGTGACTCATTCCTTACAGAGTTTATTGTCTTCTATTGTCATAACCAACCAAACACAAAGCCTCTTCATATATAGGGGCCGTGACGACCCAATCATAGACCGCTCTCATAACAAGACGGGTTTAGATACTATTTCATGTGCATTTTAACAAAAGCAGCCTTGTCTCTTCAATTTATGTAAATAAAAGAATATTTAAACCGTCTGTACAGTATTATGAAAGTGCTGAATTGGTGGCTTTCATGCAAGCAATTCCACGAGACTTTAACACGAAGGCAGATGAAACAATAATATTCAAATGCAATTCTCGTGGTGAAATGCCGCCCCAGTGCAGCCACACCTATGACAGGCCTTAAAATATCGGTCGGTCACGGACATTGTCCGACCCATTCGTGAAATTGTCCGACGTAGAAAAGAAACCACCGGACATTCTGTCCGACCTAAGTGAAACTGAGGTTTATTGTTTGTCCGACCCGAGTGTATTGGTGTCCGACCGAACTGTAGCTTTGTCCGACGTAAATCAAAATGTACCCTAGCACAGGAGGCCAGGACTAGAGGCAGGCTTGTATGTTAAATGCAAAATCAGAGTACTATTGTATAAAAGGTCAACTGGAAATGTTGTTTTAACGTAGTCGAGCGCGGGGCGGCGAGCGAAATGGTGAAGTGGTAAGTCGAAGTCTTTTTCAGGATACTGCTGTTCTGGCAAGTATGTATGAAAGAAACAAATTATTTAATATCTTTACAACATTCACCGTTTATTCATTTGTGTCATTCAGACTTAAGTTTCCGAGTCAAAAATGAACTGAAGGTCATCGGACACATGTCCGACCCAGTCTCAACGTCACCGGACATTTTGTCAGACGGCCCTGGAAAAGATACTTTAAGGCCTGCACCTATGATGAGTTATACTCGATGTTGAGAATTTAAACAGCTTCACCGCAAATATAAAGAAGTCCTTAGGATTATCAGTAACTCAACGGAATATTTTATTATTTTTATCAGAAAAATAATTTTATCTTCTTAGACAATATAAATTTTAGAAAATCAAGTCATAAATTAATAGATACTCTAAATCCCCTAAACTGCACTCTACGGTACCCAGAAACAACTCAATTTCTTGAATTCAGATTTAGCAAATCCAAACTACTGTCCTGTGACGTCTTCTACTGTCTTGGTCTAGAATAATCCTAGTACTTCCTCCGTTTCTGTGTTTAAATCGACATCGTAGAAACACGGCCTGGTTGGGAGACCTGGCATTGTGCTCATCTAAATGACAGAAAAACACAATATATTTGACTTATTTCAATAAATACCCACTATCTAATAATTAAAGCCCCTGTCAAACGGTGTTGATGAGTGTCAAGCTCTAGATTAACAAAATAAAGTTTTGATGAGTTTCCCAACTATGTTTTAACTTCAATAGAATACATGATAGTGTTGGGAAAGCATTAAGAACAGCTAACCAAGGTCACGTGACTGTCAACTCTCATGCACTCTCAGCCTCGTTTAATCTGGGCTTAAGACTCTTCTCCAATGAACACTTCTAAACCCAAGTTTCCCCTCAAGAACACTTGTTCGTGTTGGTTGTATGATCAACAACGTTTCCATCACGTTTGAGTTCTATAAACCCCTTGGCAGAATGTTGAAATGAAACAATGATTGGCTGGATGGCAAGGAGAACAGTGCAATTTGCAAAACAACGAGAAGACGATGGAACATTCCGATCACTGAATCCGGACTGAATGGCAGTATTGTTATACAAGCTCCGTCCGTGTGTGGAAAAAATAAGTTGCCTTAATGGCAGTCCACATACCGTGCCCACCAGAGGAAATAGAAAGCCTGCACCGACACTCGCGCGAACATCACGAATTGGTAAAACAAATCCTGGAAAGGAAAATAACGATCGAAATATGGCCATGGATTAGAAAACTACCACAAATTATGATAATCATAAGAGGAAGAGTTACAGAAACGAGGGGGGAGGGGGGGGGGCAGGGGAGAGGCCCAACCGCCCAACCAAATAACTTCTGAAAGCTGTTGAACTGTATCTGAATAACCGTGTAACAAAGCTGTAACAATAATTTTACAGTAATGATTTTTCTGTGTTGGTGTAATATACTCAGGTGAATATGATGCTTGTGATGTTACTCGGAGTGTATATCCACACCGGGCAAGCTTGAAAAATATGCCTGACCACGGTGGGAATCGAACCTACGACCACCGTGGTCAGGCATATTTTTCAAGCTTGCCCGGTGTGGATATACACTCAGAGTAACATCACAAGCATAATAATTTTACAAACATAAAAGCATTGGTAGGATTTAATTAAGCAAATTTGCATGAAATATACGGAGATTTGCAGCAACAAAAGGGTGGTAATATGATGGTAATCTAATCCCCCCACCCCTACATACCTTTCGGAGCGCCTTTTAAGTCAGCATTATGGGATAAAGATAAATGTGTCTTAGCCATGCATATTGGCAGATCGTTGAATCCTTGACTTCTGAATAAATTAATTCTCTTTTGAGCTTCTTCTGAAAACTCCACCCCATCAGCACCGTAGATTTTCTGCGCGATCGTTTCTATTTTCTTTTCAATTGGCAACTGTAGGAAAAATTAAAATATTTCACAGGCAGGTAGGTATACTGGTAGGTACGTGGATAATGAAAGCTTTTCAGCAAGCATATATAACATCATAAAGCTTTATAAAAGAATAAAGTTCTCCTTGTATTTTTCAGGTAGTTGTATCCCTATCCGAAGCTTTCTTATCATTGACTCTACCTACACTGCGACAGACAGTCTTGGTAAAATTACTAACCTGTAGATCATAGAGAAACTTGAAGTCAATGGGCTGTTTAGTTGCTTTAATTACTGCTTCGGCTAATTTCACAGCTCCAACACCTAAACAATAGTTATAAAAACTCTAAAGACGCATCGGGCTCATTCCCCCTGGAAAATATATATCCCAACCTCAAGCTAAACCGTAGGAGTTCAATCTCAAAGTTTCTGTGATCACAGTAGGAATTTTGCATAGGTAAATTGTTTTGAATATAAAATTAAAGTTATTAAAGTTATTTGCTGGGCTCTGTTTTTTATCTTCAAGTTAAGATTTCCGCCTGGTGTATCAATTGCCACTGTTTTGAAGTAGTTTTTGTAAGATTGAAGCATTTCAGTAAGTTTTGAAGGATTTGTAAGAACTGTTCGAGGGAACTGATTCAGTGTCTAACACTCTGAGTCAATTCCCTCAAACATTTCTTACAAATCCTTCAAAACTTTACCGAAACTTTGACAGTGTGAACGAGCGTTTAATACAGGCGTTTAGGAACTCCCTTTTCTTCAAGCAGTGACCATTCTTCAGATGGGAAAACATTAAAAAAAAAATTGTTAAATCACCTCCATCAGCCCAGTGTGTTGACTGGATAGCATCAAAGGCACCACCTTCTTTGCAGAGATTGATAAGCAACTCAATTTCAGCGTCTGTGTCAGTTCTATTGGAAAATAACTTATTTCTATAGTAGTTTTCTTTACAAGTGGTACTCCTTATTGCCCGGTGACTGGTAGGGGCAGTGTTACTGCTCGGAGTACGTGAAGAAAATTTGCGGTGTTTGGTAGAGTTAGACTGGACAAAACCTCTCAATATCCTCTCACATGACTAACATGAGACAAATCAATCAAAGATCCATATTCCAGGAATCAGGAAGACCAAACCAACTAGCAGTGTATCTCTTTGTCTGCATGTTCTGTGTCAATAAATGCCCAAATGTTTGTCTGATTGTTTTTGTTTGTTCGCTTAATTGTTTACTTGTTTCTTTCTTTCTTTGATTGTTCGTTTGTTGTTTATTTTCCACTTACTTAAATCGGTTAACAGCCACCACGACAGACACGCCAAAGAACATAGCGTTCTCAATTTGTTTGGCAAGATTCGAAAATCCATTTTTCACCAAATCTAAATTCTAAAGAGCACACATATGCAAGATCAATAAACATAAAGCACCTCATGTATCAACTATAGTCCTGTAGCTAATATAATCAACAATATTTATTGCCATTAAAATCACCTCTTCAACGTAAACATCTGCGAGAGGTCGACCAGCTACCACCTGAAACGCACAAAACGAAACATGTATTTCTGGGTAAAGGTGCGATACAGTACGTTCTGCGCAAGTGCATATTCCTCATGAAACATGATTGGACTGATGAGATGAGACTTTGTGTGTTTCTGACGGATGCAAATATTTATTTTCTTAAATGAAAGAACACTTTAAGCTGTAGTGTAACGTATTTTTCAGTTTCTTGTTTTCATGGTTTGTTCCCGAGATATTTCAATTTGTTTGGTATGTAAATGAGTGTGAATATGTCCGCTAATCTATGACGTCACGTTGGTTGCAAGCTCAACTTACACTGGTTATAAATCTATTAACTCTAAAAACTGTTTGATATCAGTTCACGTTTTTCTCCAGTATTTTATCACATTCACCAGTGAGTGAAGTTAGAAATTATCATCTTGGATGATAGCCGTGATTTCAACCATTTTGAAGAGCTTGCAACCAACGTGACGTCATAAATTAGCGGACATATTCACACCATTTACATACCAAACAAATTGAAATATCTCGGGAACAAACCATAAAAACAAGAAACTGAAAAATAAGTTAAATTACAGCTTCCAGAGTTCTTTCATTTAAGAAAATTCATGTCATATGCACTTTAAGGAGTCAATTATGTGTTTGTATTATATGCAATTTCTTCCTCCTTGTTCTATATAGCACGTAGTTTCAGGTTACCGAATATCGTTTAGAAAAATGTGCTTTATGTACAATTTTTACAATTCAAATATTTGCAAACCTTGGGGCCTCCTCCATGCATTTTCAATGCTCGAACAGTCGCCACAAGAACAACACAGTTTGGAACAAGACCTGAATTTGGTCGAAATATTTGATAGTGAGTGATTCTATATATACAGTAATATGAATTGAAAAATAAATAAAAATGAAAACATAATCTCCATACCACTATATCTACATTTGATGTTAAAGAATTTTTCCATTCCAATATCTGCTCCAAATCCAGCTTCGGTGACTATTAAACAGAGAAATATATCAAGAGGGGCAGTTTGCATGAAAGTCTTTGAAATCTTCTAAACTTATACTGGATAGCTCTACGGGTTCTAAACTGTTCTCCTTAGAAGTGTAGCAAGGGCCATGCATGTTTGGGCCCAACGCTACCACAGGTAATAATCTCTAAGTTTGATTTATTTACAGTTTAGTACACTAACGGCTGTATTCTAAAAGCTCATTCACACTGAATGAGTGGAGGTTCAATCTGAGCTTCTCTTGAGTGTCAATGCTGTTTTTGAATAGCTGGAGGGTGAGTAGTCACATAGTAAGGTACGACACTAACCCTCGAGCTATTCAAAAACAGCAATGACACTCGAGAGAACCTCACATTAAACTTCCAATCATCGAGTGTGAGTGAGCTTTTAGAATACGGGCGTAAGAGTATCATACTTACAAACAAAGCCATCTTCTCCTACAAGCTTCAGCGCTATTCTGTCCGCGATAATCGATGAATTTCCATGAGCAATGTTGGCAAAGGGGCCGGCATGAACAAACACGGGAGAACCCTTTAGACAAGAATTTTGGATGATATATAAGTTTGTTAATATTGAATGATAAGTGGATGATAAATGTACACGCCCCTCAATGAAACCAGCTGATGGTTGTCGAGGCTAGTGTGTTTAAATACAGTCTGTATGTGTCTATGTATGTTTTGTGAGAATGAAAGTCTACTCATGCCATACCATAAAGTAAACTATCTATTCTTTGCTTGCATATGACGTCACTATGTCGCATTAGGCGCCAACTTGGTTGATTTTAAAGTTTTGCCCAGCCGCTTACATCGAAATAGTTAAGTTACTTTAATATTTTTGGTTTGTTTTGAAAACATCTTACTGTATTATGGATAGTTTACGATTTCTGGCACAATACGACAAAGAATGAAGAATATAGATTTATAGTTGCCACGAAAATCAACCAAGATGGCGTCGATTGCAAACGAGCAACACAGTAGAGATGATACCTAAACTACACTAATATATACAGTACCTCTAAAGTTTGCATTAAGTTTGGTTTAATTGTATCCTTCATCAGAACAGCAACTGCTCCTGTGACACCCTACAAACAAGACGGAACAGTAATTCTGTTTTAAGTATAGTTCAAACAAACATGGCCAAAAACGTAGCAACAATTCATGGTTTTTGGTTTTGCACGCACCCACAAGTGCACAAAAACCGCCATACCGTGTTTAAAGATTTTCCAATAAATCAATTATCCTACCAGATCATCAGCTGTCACTGCGTGTCCATTTTTATCACATGCTACCACCATCTTTCCAAATCTACAGGAAAACACATCCGGCAATGTTAAAGCTGTTGTTTTGTTCAGTTTCCAGTCTGACAGGTCCGGCATATGCTTAATACAATCTGCGATTTCTTGTGCGAGTTATGAATGCTCTGAGTATACAGCATGTATACCCTCATCTAAACATTCATAATCTCGTTCACATCCATCAAAAGTACATCGCGCCTAAAATTTCAATTTTATTTAAGTTACTCACCGTTCCTTCATGTCTTCTAGGTTCTTAGCAAGCGCTAGGATGGCCATAATCTCACTTGCCACTGAAATATCAAACTGACACTAAAACAATTGAAAAAAAGTTTTACTATCTTACTCTCCTGTACCCTTGACCCTCGGAAAATATGTATACTGACCACACGAGTCCTTCCTTTCTCTGTAGGTGATTGACCAATAGTTATCTGTCGTAGAAATCTGTCATTTGTGTCCATAACTGTGAGAAAAAACTAAGGAAATTAGAGGTTATCTGCAGGGATCATGTAATAATGGATAAATCTTTGCACTTACAGTAAAGACTAAATTGCATACCGTACAACACACAAAAGTAAATCATGCAAGACTACCTCTTTGCCATGTAATGCTGTCGGGATCGATGTCAAGTCTCGCAAATTTCCCAGCTTCTTCAGGCGTTAGTTCTTCTGGCTCACTTTTATCAATACCGAGTTTCTACAACAAAGGAACAACATTCATTGTTTTTACTGACAAACAAACAAACCAACCAAAACAACCCCGAACAAACCCCAAAACAACCCCCAAACCAACCCCAAAACAGACCCAAAACAAACCAAACCAAACAACAGTTAAAAGGGAACTCTGAAAAAACCTTTAATCGTCTCAACATAATGTCTGAAAACTTTCTCTTTCCATCCTTGGCAGGACACAGTCTGTTAAATAAAGCCTAAAAAACAAGAGTATACACGAAATTTTTATTTCGATACGTCTCTTTCACTATAGCCTGAGAACAGGACTAACCCAATACAAGTACAACTATACAGTATCTTCTTATTTTCGTATTAAGCATACACGAAGCTCTCTCGCCAGCTATATCGAGTCAACTGAAATTTGATATCGTGACAGATCTGAATTAGTTACCTCATCTGTCTGGGTTGACTCGTGAAATATTCTCGTGTCAATCGCTGCAGCTGAAAACGGCAATAAAGAAGCAATATCTAACATTTAAACAGTATATCCGTCATAAAATTTAATTATGTTATTGCATGCATGCGACTCACAGTACAATAATAAAATCTGCACCTACCTACAAGATTGTTCGCAGCGGTGATTGCGTGAATGTCTCCAGTTAAATGAAGATTAAACTACAAAGTGAAAGAGGGTAATAGAAGCAAGTAATTGTTTACTATGGTCACTGACAGTACACACCAAATTTCCGAACTTTGTCAAGTCGTTGATAATAAAAAACTAATGTTTACACACCTCTTCCATTGGAATAACTTGAGAATAACCCCCACCAGCGGCTCCACCTAAAAACATAAAAGGGTTAGAGTTAGAGGTGATACTTTTTTTACCTCTAGCGGTTTGCGGTACAAAAATAAATGTCCGTGATAACATGAGGTGACCATAGTATAGGCGCAGGCCGAGTTTCATTGCACAGAGTACTAACCTTTTATTCCAAAAATCGGTCCTTGTGATGGTTGCCGTATACAAGCAAACGTATTCTTCTTCAAATGAGCCGACATGGCCTGAGAAATACCTATTGTTGTTGTACTCTTGCCCTCCCCTAGTGGTGTTGGAGTTATCCTAAACAAAAAATGAAAGGAAAGCGGCTTAAAATAAAATAACAATATAAGGCCGCAACAAATTGCGGCTTCATGCACTATTTAAAACATGAGCAGAGTGTTTTATTAGATATAAAGATACGAGGCGAAGCTGAGTGTCTTTAGGTCTGATAAAACACGCACTGCGAATGTTTTAAATATGGAGGTATGGGGGGTGGGGGGACACCCCCCCAAAATACGAATCATCCAGATTGGCAGGGCAACCAAAGACTTTAAATGATAGAATGTAGAGTTATTAAGTAACTTATTACAGCTAGCAAACAATAAGCAGTTGGTATACATGCATGCATGTACATTGGCATCGGCAGTTAGTGATGTATTGTATTAGCGCTGGCGCTGCAGGGCATCATTGGTTTTGGCAGGGCAATTCTGCCAGACACCCCCTAATTAAAAGAAACTAGTTTCGCCCCTGTATATGAGCGTGCTCATGAGACACCAAAATAAGGGGTTCTCATAAGCACGCTAAAACAAGCATATATGCGCGTGCTTATGAGACACCAAAATAAGGGCTTCTCATAAGCACGCTAAAACAAACATATATGAGCGTGCTTATGAGACACCAAAATAAGCTAGGGCTTCTCATAAGCACGCTAAAACAAACATATACGAGCGTGCTTATGAGACACCAAAATAAGGGGTTCTCATAAGCACGCTAAAACAAGCATATATGAGCGTGCTTATGAGACACCAAAATAAGGGCTTCTCATAAGCACGCTAAAACAAACATATATGAGCGTGCTTATGAGACACCAAAATAAGGGCTTCTCATAAGCACGCTAAAACAAACATATATGAGCGTGCTTATGAGACACCAAAATAAGGGCTTCTCATAAGCACGCTAAAACAAACATATATGAGCGTGCTTATGAGACACCAAAATAAGGGCTTCTCATAAGCACGCTAAAACAAACATATATGAGCGTGCTTATGAGACACCAAAATAAGGGCTTCTCATAAGCACGCTAAAACAATCATATATGAGCGTGCTTATGAGACACCAAAATAAGGGCTTCTCATAAGCACGCTAAAACAAACATATATGAGCGTGCTTATGAGACACCAGAATAAGCTAGGGCTTGTCATAAGCACGCTAAAACAAACATATATGAGCGTGCTTATGAGACACCAGAATAAGCTAGGGCTTGTCATAAGCACGCTAAAACAAACATATATCAGCGTGCTTATGAGACACCAAAATAAGCTAGGGCTTCTCATAAGCACGCTAAAACAATCATATATGAGCGTGCTTATGAGACACCAAAATAAGGGTTCTCATAAGCACGCTAAAACAATCATATACGAGCGTGCTTATGAGACACCAGAATAAGCTAGGGCTTGTCATAAGCACGCTAAAACAAACATATATGAGCGTGCTTATGAGACACCAGAATAAGCTAGGGCTTGTCATAAGCACGCTAAAACAAACATATATCAGCGTGCTTATGAGACACCAAAATAAGCTAGGGCTTCTCATAAGCACGCTAAAACAATCATATATGAGCGTGCTTATGAGACACCAAAATAAGGGTTCTCATAAGCACGCTAAAACAATCATATACGAGCGTGCTTATGAGACACCAGAATAAGCTAGGGCTTGTCATAAGCACGCTAAAACAAACATATATGAGCGTGCTTATGAGACACCAGAATAAGCTAGGGCTTGTCATAAGCACGCTAAAACAAACATATATCAGCGTGCTTATGAGACACCAAAATAAGCTAGGGCTTCTCATAAGCACGCTAAAACAATCATATATGAGCGTGCTTATGAGACACCAAAATAAAGGGTTCTCATAAGCACGCTAAAACAATCATATACGAGCGTGCTTATGAGACACCAAAATAAGGGGTTCTCATAAGCACGCTAAAACAAGCTTAAATGAGCGTGCTCAGGGGCGAACCTTGAGGGGGGTATGAGGGGGTATGAGGGGGTGACCCCCCCCCCCCCACGTTCCGAAGAATTTGTAAGAAATGTTTGAGGGAACTGGCTTGGTGTTTAACACTGAAAACTCTTAAAACGGAAATGTTTGCATCTTCTGCAGGATGTATTTTAAGCTTACCCGGCCACTACGACATATTTTCCAGTTTGTTCGTTCTTGAGTCGATCCAAAACAGACAGCGAAACTTTACATTTCTTTGTGCCATACAACTCCAACTAATGAATGGAAAACGTGCAGCATTGTAGCTGGAACGACAGCGGGGTGCGAGCCGGGGCTGTTTGAAAGCGGATTAGCTCAACCCAAAGTTAACTTGGCATTCAAAGGAATCTTCCACACAGCTTGTTATAAGAATTTGGAAATATTTCTTCAGAAATTTTGTCTGGATCAGTATGGCAGCTTTCTTCTCTGAAGTTTGGAAAGACGTGAAGAAATAAAAACTAAAACAGCAAGTTAAATTTCAACCGTCTGCATGGGTTAGGGGCCAATCCTGCTTTGAACAACCTGGCCCAGGGCATTTGGGGTAATCGGTCCCCCACCTCTATTCCATGGACTTCTGGGAAGAACAATCTAAACACAGAGACAGACAGGCACACGGACAGAGAGACAGACACACGAACAGAGCAGAGCAGAGACACACGGACAGACAGACAGACAGACAGACAGACAGACAGACAGACAGACAGACAGACAGACAGACAGACAGACAGACAGACAGACAGACAGACAGACAGACTCGCAAGTCAGGGTCAGCAGCGCCGTGCGGAAGTAAACACCCTGGCTTGCGAGGTTGACAGCTATCTAGTATAAATACAGTTAGTTTAAATTTAGTCTTCTATATAATTACACACACCTCATATCGTTGTATACCAACTTCACTGGCCAGTTGTTGAATGTTCTTCGGATCTTGCGCTTTGGAAATTTCAATATCGCTACAGAAGTTTCGAACAATTCGAGTTTGCGAAACTAACTACAATATATAGCCTATGAAACTAAGCACTATATCGTACAGCAAGTCAGTCATGAAATACCCTAAATCCTTTATTAACCAACTCTCATATAAGCACCAAGCATTTTTTTTCATTATACGTAGTGAAAGCTTCAGCTTAAATTATGAATGCTTCAATTTGGAAGAACACTTCTTTGTTTTAAAAACCAATCAGGGAAATGCTTTAGCAAATGTGACATCAAATTTTCCCATTATGTTCTCACGGTTGGCTTTCGAAGACTCATGTACATAATAAATTTAAATTTCATAGGTGATTGTTCAATTATTACTTCAAGTTACCTTGGGACAGGCCTCAATATATTCAATGGTAAAAACTTTATCTCCCACAAACCAGCCTAAGATAAATAGAAAACGAATCACAATTACTAAAGCATTTCAGACTCATCTTTTCAACATTTTATGAAGAGGAATACATAAAGGAATAGCCGCAAATTCATGAACGCCGGCTTAGAGGGGCGGTTACCAAGTGGGAATAGCGGGCTGATGTACTGAACTTCTTTGAATCGATTTTCATCATTTGAAAAATCCAGTTAATATACGCGTACATATATAGCGAACGTTTGCCAGAAAAAGTGTAGGAATTTTCCCATATTTGCCCTTTTATCTATGTGTCCCTGCTCGAATCTGATATGGGATACAACATTATATAATAGAGCAACACACAACATCATACTAAACGTAATTTATATCTCTGTTCATGACATTATACTCCATGCAAAAGTACAGATAGAGATGGGATGTTTATATTAATCGCAAATGTATATTGATTATTGTAATATTGTATTTCAAGCTTTTCTACACTCTTCTATATAATGCATACATGTAGGTTAAAAAAATAAATTGAGATAGTTCTAACCTATATTTAAGCCTAATATTCTCTACCGGTCTTTGAACTAATATATATATTTGCGGACGAAGCGACCTCCTATTTCCTAAGAGCGTGTCTCAGTAATTTATACAGAGGTTGTAGCGAATAACCCATTTTAAGATTTGAGACCTTTTGTTGAAGAATCATTTTCTTGGCACTTTCTACTGTGTTTTGCATCAACATCGCTACCGTCATTGGACCAACACCTAAACAAACGACATTCCAAGTTCAATTTAAAGACCCTTGTAAAACGAGTAAAATAACCTGGCGTTAGGTCGAGTAAAATTGTCTGGCATTAAACAGAGTATAAAATAATAAAGTAGGGCGCATTTGGGCACATTGAAGCTTGATGAGTTAACAGAACACATTGGCAGATTGTTTGGTCAACTCATTCAGGCGCAAGACCCTTGACGAGTAAAATAACCTGGCGTTAGGTAGAGTTTTTTTTGTCTGGCACTAGACAGAGTATAAAATAATAAAGTAGGGCGCATTTGCGCACATTGAAGCTTGATGAGTTAACAGAACAGATTGGCATATTGTTTGGTCAACTCATTTAGGCGCAAGACCCTTGACGAGTAAAATAATCTGGCGTTAGGTAGAGTAAAATTGTCTGGCACTAGACAGAGTATAAAATAATAAAGTTGGGCGCATTTGCGCACATTGAAGCTTGATGAGTTAACAGAACAGATTGGCAGATTGTTTGGTCAAACTCATTCAGGCGCAAGACCCTTGATGAGTAAAATAATCTGGCGTTAGACAGAGTAAAATAATAACGTAGGGGGCATTTGAGCGTATTTCAATCTACACTGTACATAGAAGAATTCTGTGTAGAGATCCCATCAGGGACATCTGTTCATGGTCCAGTGTTACCTCAGGAAGAAACATGTATACACCAAAAGACTTGCTCAACACAAATGTTTATAAATGGTCTACCTAACGGTTACTAACCCCCTGGAACTGGTGTGATCCAGCTTGCTCTTTTCGAGGCCGCTTCATAATCCACATCGCCCACCAATCGATGACCACTTTTCTTGCTGGAATCTTTAAAAAGTTTTGCAACCAACGTAAATACTTGGTGAAGAAAAAGTTTTGATTCGAAACCTAGTTTAATACAGAGGTAAAAGTAGGGTAAAAGTACCCTGGCTATAATCTCTGAATTACTGTACCTGGGATGGCATTAATACCACAGTCTATCACAACAGCACCCTCTTTAATCCAGTCTCCCTAAACAAAAACACATATAATTCATCAAATATGTATTCAGGCACTGGGTTACTGTCGTTCCAATTGAAGTGTTGCTCAAATATTGATTCAATACATTACCTCGGGCTGACCAATTCATTTGATCAAGTTCCTCCAGATATTCATATACTTCCTGTGAAAGAGCCAATTCCAAGTATTTGATCATTTCTGGTCACTTCCTTTCTATTTATGATTGGTTAGTTGCACAAACAACAAAGGTGATTGGTGCATTCAAACTATTCAACAGGAAGTTTACAATTATACTAGGAAGTGTATGAATATCTCGATGAACTTGATCAAATGAATTGGTCAGCCCGAGGTAATGTATTGAATCAATATTTGAGCAACACTTCAATTGGAACGACAGTAAATTTGTGATACTTATTGCCCTACACCAGAATTAAATATTTTCTCTAAAAACTCTCACTTTTACAAAATGTTTGCTACCAATTGCAACTACGACAATCTCTCCTTCTCGAACCTAGAAAGACAGAAATAACATCAAATTACTGCAAATTAGACATTTTGTATATTAAATAACAGCGAGGTTCAGATTTTAACTTCAACTACCATTAAATTAACCAATCAGATGCATTTATTCTACCCGATTAACCAATCAAATGCATATTAAGTCTGTGAGAGTTAGCGGTAGTTGAAGTCAAATCTGAACCATCTCGAGAACCGGAGGAAGCAAGCAAACAAAATTCTACTAAATATCTTATACATACAACGTCAGGCAAGTCTTTTGTTTTTGAATGACAGACTGTAACGGTGGCATGATTCCATGTTAGCAGATTAGACATTGGAGCACCCTAGGGAAACACAACACATGCAAATGATTCATAATATACAATATTCTTGCACAAGTTAACACACAAAGTCCTCAAATCAAAACGCATGCAAAAATCTTATGTCAAACTCACGACAATTTTACTTCGTCCGAGAACTATGGCTTTCTTTCCTTGTACTTCAATGCCTTATTGGTGAAGAAAAGATGTACAAAATATGTGTAAACTACATGCGAAAAATTTCTGTACTGTATACGAACTGAGCTTATAGAATTACAGTAAGCCCGGATGAAATGGGAATGAGGATGTTCTTAATGCTTTCCCAACCTACCATGTATTTGATTAAAGTTAAAACATAGTTGGAACACTCATCAAACATTTATTTTGTTAATCTAGAGATTGAAATGTCTCCTAAAACAATGCATGACTGCACAAATCTCATTAACCTCCTTGTTTCACAGGGCTTTAGCATGGATACAAATATTAAAGCAATTACTAACCAGTCCTCTGTATCAGTTCCAGACAACCTCGTGGTGTGCACGGCACAATACAATCATTCAGTTGACCTCTAGCAAGCCTTCCAGCATTTACATCATTCAGACTGAACAAATAAACAAAACAACATATAAAACAAAACAACATATAAAGCAAAACCTCTTACAAAGACCACTTGTCAGAACGTTATATAGTAAATGAGGGTAATTCTGTGACAGAATAGTGAATTTCAAAATCTAATTCCCACCCGTCGACATCTTTCTCAGGTGCAACAGCGTTCGTGCAAGCAGATGGATCAATAGGTTCCGACGAATCAGGTGGTAGTTGCACAATAATGCCATGGACATTTGGGTCTTTGTTCAATTCATCAACTTTCTTCAATACCTGATCATTGGAAAATGAAAGATTGAAACAAAAAATTAAAACTAATTTTATTATAATCACACAAATGCATGCCAAGTTATGCAAGTATCGACTCTTTCAACTGCAATATTATGGCGTGGAACTTCCTTGTTTTCAGCCATGTATCATGTGACACCACTTACTTTTTAATGGTACCACAAGACCTTTCCAAGCCCAAGATATTCAATACCATAATTTAGTTGGTATATCATGTGTAAGTCTGAAATGTCTTGGCACGAAACATGATTGGGCTGATGGCACAAAAAATGTTGGAGTCTATTGTTTGTGTGTGCAATTGTGCTTCTTGTTCTAACTTGTAATCTGAATATACTTTTCAAAAACTTGTATTTTATGTACTTATTGTTTAAGTATGTAGCAATAATCATTGGTGTACCAGCCAGGTATGACTAAAAATCTTTAATTATCACACCCTGCCCTAATAAAAACTACTTCAATACATTTAACACATGCTGTATAATTTTAACACCAAACAATCCAGAATGTCGAAGGGAAAGTTACCATCAGTGGGCTAAGTTTTACAAAGAATTTATCAACAAATGTAATACCCACCTCCTGTTCAGTTGCGGTATTTGATAATTTTACATGTGTTGCAACCATTCCAATCTAGTCATTTGAAGATGGAAAACGTTTATTTTGTATTAATTGTTTGAAATGGAATTGACTGAGAAAAATTTCTGATGTTAAGTGCTACTACTATACAAGAAATAATATTCACCTCGTTCGCAGCCTTTGATTTCGCTCGGATGTAAGATGTTGAGTCCGCACGATCTCCAATCTAGTGAGACAAACAGATAAATGTCAGGGTTTACATGTATATGACAGAGCTGGAAAGCAATGAAAATAAGTTGATGTGCACATGTACAGTAAACAGAAAGGATAGACCTGCCATTGCACCTACTGACAACTAGAAAAAAATGTGTAAATAATTAACGAGCTATATATGGTATTGGTATGTATACACATGTTCAGTATACCTAAAACGTTCTAAAAGTATACATATTTTGGTATATATGCAGCCAAGAATGTAGTTTGACTATAATTTTACCTGTACTATGGCTAAACATGGATTAAATTCTGGATATTGCTCTCTTGTTTCATCAACAATCACTTTTAACTTGGCACGGATATCTCTGTAAAAGTTTGTATCATTCTTTATCACTTACCTCAATTTGCCCAATTGATGATTCCCCTTATTAAGTATTTCGTATCGCTTTGCATTGTGGTTATAGTGGTATCACTGATAAAGATAGAGGCCTCGAATGAAAATATTGAATGTTTTCGCGAATATTTTGCTGTTAGCTATTGATCACCTGACTCTAGCTTTTTTTAAAAGTTCTTGCACGGGTCAGGACAAAAAATAAGCCATCTTGAATATCAGTGATACCACTATAACCACAATGCAAAGCGCTACGAAAACGTAATAAGGGGAATCATCAATTGCTACTGGATTTTATCTGTTTATTTGACAAGGGAGGCCAGATTGGGTTAGATATATTGGGTTCATGCAGAGAGTTGCATGACATTCAGTTTCTAAATGCAGCTGACCGTCAGTGCTATACATAACAGTATTTCAAAGAGGTAATACACAGTGTGCAAAGTAGGGGGGGGGGGGTAGACTCACATTTTTAGCTTCGCCATGGCTCTGGCTGGTTCGAATACCATTCTCGTACCCAGAGCCCTTCTTACGCGCGTTGCGACGAGGGGCTCTGGCCAAATCCATAACCGGATACCATAAAAACATGGTAATAGAATATATCCGGTATAAGAATAATAACCTTCGGTGTAGCCAATAAGATGCCAGTTTGATATGGATTTGGCCAGAGCTCCTCATCGTGCTCGGTTGACCGCGCGTAAGAAGGGCTCTGGGTACGAGAATGGTTCGAATACATGAAGTATATATAACTCCAGCTGATAAATTATGACATTCTTGATTCACAACTGCCAAATAGCTTGAACTCATGAATGTGGAACTGCATTAACTGTCATTGGATGGAAACGTTAAACAAAAAAATATCAATTTGACATTTTTTGTGGCAACTTGAATATGGATGCAGCCCCTTACAAAGTTGCAAATTCCAAACTTTCCAGTCAGGGGAAAAAGGCTCTTTCTTTCATTGGGTACATTTATCATTTAAACCTTTGGCTCTCATGGGGAAATGTCCCAGCTGCTCCTGGTAGTGTCACAAGCCCCCAATACCGCCTCTTGTGTTGCTAGACTACATACATGCAGATAAAAAAATGTGGCGGTGTTTCACAATTCAGAACAATTGTCTCAAATTTAATGGCTAACGTTAATTATGTTTTAATGTCATTTATTGTTGTATACCTATTGCACAATGCCAAATTGTAGCATATTAAAACGTTACCACATGAGCCGCGTTTGGCTGTGCTTTTGGTCATGAACCCATGATGACTCATGCCATATTTATAAAAAGTGCATGCTAAAAATTGCACGAAAGAGCAGTACGATTTAAGAATAGGACAAAAATTAAGCCTCACTTACTTTGCTACTGTAGATCCTTTCAAAATTTGAGCCATTCTGTGTCTATAAAGGCGATTTTTCACGCAAAATTATGATGTATTTTTGCACGTGAAAATATCGAACTTTTCGCAAGGGAAATTTTCGTAGAAGGAAGAACTAGTACCCAGTCTGTCACGTTTATTTAAACCGAGTAACCTCCAACCAATGCCTCCAACGTAATTTATGCTAATTCAAATGAGATAGTAAGTTAATTGCAACCATAGAACAACATCGTAACGAGGTTGACTACAGAAATGATTGTACAAAACTTTACTTAGCATTTCATCTTCTTCGTTCTCATATCATGTTAAATGTATCCATCTCGTATATTTGCCACCAAATACAATGACAATACATAGTCTATTTTATTGATTTTACTGAACTGTTTTATAATTATTTTATAAACATAGCCTGTTTTTGAAAAAATAAATAAAATATAGCATAAAATAATAGTCTATTTTATAATTTAGTATTTTAGTCTATTTTATAACTGACACACGCACAATTCCTACGAGATTACAACCATTGCAAAAGCAAATTATGAAAAAATTACAACAAGCTTTCAGTACACTCGCTGAACGACAAGAATACAATTAAAAAACCGTCAATCTAATGAAAAAAATCGTCATTAAAACTCTCAATGCACTAGACTGAGCGTTACAAGTGCATGGGTCATAGTTTTTAAGACTTCATCTTTCAGATGGATCTTCGGTCAGGTTCCCTTGAAAATTATTTCCAAGGCGGAAAAAAGTTCACTATCCAGTGTCTCAAGCCAGTGGAAACAATGTTTTCTGATTTGTCCAGCTTCCTAATTACCCACCGTCCATTTTCACATATATATTCCGGTCTTAAGTCTGCGTAAGCTGATTCCAAAACGTCCCGAATTTTTCGAGGGCACCACGTTTGAATGCCCGTGAAAACACATTTTTGAAACGGAAAGAAATGCGAAATGTTGTAGTATTTTTTCATTTCGACATCGTAAATTCTCCCGCTAGTTCGGTTAACAACGTATGGAAAAATGTCTAAACCTCTCAAGCCAGAAATTACACGAGCCATTGGACTGATAAATGAACATCTATCCACTTGAAAATATACCTCCTGAAACGATATGAAAGACAAAATCAACGTTTTAACCCGCGTTCACTACAATCCGTTGCATGTACTGCTAAAAAAACCCATTGAGTATATCACTGTTCTAAGAATTGATCTGAACTTTCATCGATGATCGTCTGAGATATCATGATCGAGAGACATCAGAGACTGTAAATTCATACAGTCTCTTGATGATGTCGTAGAGTCTGAAGCAAAATGCCTTTAAAAAAATGCGGTTTGATTTAAACGAGTTACAATTGGTAGTTAAGAATGTTAAACTGTTTTGATTATTGAAAAATAAGAATGTTTAGTAAAAATTTGTCTGAGCTTTTGTCGTCTAAGACGACAAAAGCTCAGACAAATTTTTAGAACATTCTAGACGACAAAAGCTCAGACAAATTTTTAGAACATTCTTATTTTTCAATAATCAAATTTTAACATTCTTAACTACCAATTGTAAGTTCTAGCAGCTCGACGACCTCGTTTAAATCAAACCGCATTTTGTTGCCGGCCTAAAACAAACTGAATATAGTATGTTTGAAGTAACTTTAATGCCCTTTGTGTTGAAAATATAGTCGGTTGAGTTCAGTTTCAGACAATGCCTACTGGTCTCAATAAGCAATTCACATTTAAGCCCCAGTCACACGTGACCGGATTCTCATCGGAGGCCGATCGTTTCAAGAGGAGTTTAGTACTCAAAATTGTGATAATATAACAGAATTAGTCAAAAACTTCAAATATGAAAAGTTGTAAAGGCCATTTTCCGCGCGGAGCGAAATTTTTCTTTGTCTTGTGATTTCTTGGGTGGAAGTAATTAGAAAAGACAAAGAGAAATTCCGCTACGCGCGCAAAATTCCGCCTAGTGGAAAACGGCCTTTATTATGTTTGAAGTAACTTTAATGCCCTTTGTGTTGAAAATATAGTCGGTTGAGTTCAGTTATTAAAAGGCCTGATTCCACGGGCACTTTTTCTCGGCGAAATGCGAAATATTTCGCCTGTTTCTTTTGAATTGTGAGCAATCAAGTAGAAATAATTTATTCGAGTAGTCGCAATTCAAACGAAACAGGCGAAATATTTCGCATTTCGCCGAGAAAAAGCGCCCTACGAATCCGCTATCGTGAAACTGAGCCTTAATTAATACTAATAGTAATATTTAAGTGATGACATTTTGAGTGACATTATAGGCGTTGCAATTTTTGTTGAGTCGAGTTCCACAGGCCGTCTAGGCTACCTTATATGTCGTGATATAAAGATAACGTATATTTGCCTGATATCGTATATTTGTAGTATTTATAGTTTAATTTTATCATGTCATGTTGCGAGTATGATTAGGATGCATGTACTTTAGCCTCGGATTTGTAATTTAATTAAACTTAAACTTAAACTAGGTAACTATAATAGTTTGTATAGAACATTTTAATTGAATATTAAAAGAAATCCCTGTTCGATTCAGTAACTCAGTCAGTGGCAACCACTTACCTTTCCATAACATGTGATACGACGGCGTTTTTTCTCCTCCCTTTGCTCAAAATCAGGCTGCACCACCGTACGAAACTTTAAATCTTGACCCTGCACGAAATTCCTCTCTTCTGCAAGTGTTCGTAGTTTCCGGTACTGTACAATGTCCACTAAAACATCAATGTCATCATCCCATTGAATTATATCACCATTTCTGTACTGACCCAGCAACGAGCCAAGACCAATAACGTAAGAAATATTATGCAACTGTGCCAATTTATCCCAATGTTGCAGCATACCAGCTAACAATTCTTTGTATTTATTTGGTGGACAAGCTTTGTGTTCGGTTTTCAACTGTCTGTTTGGTCCTCGTATTTTCAAATTTGTATTACTCTGAAGCAATCCTTGCAACCAAAATACCACCAACCAAATTCCAGCAGTTGTAAACACAATTACAGTTTGTCGACCGCTTAATCTCATCATATTGTACTTCACCGTTTAACTTCGCTATATCACTGGTTCTCAATCCACCCCTATAGTATAGACTTCATGGTAAGCAACAGCGTGGCGGCGAGCTCAATAATGCTACGTGCTTCGGGCTGACGGTGCTGTTATTATACATGTAAACATTTTCGACACAAGCTCATGAATAAAGTATTGTTAGGTTTCTAGTAAACAAAGTCAAAAGACAAAGAGATCTCAAATGCAAGTCATGGTTAAGGGCTTCAGTCATTGCGGGGATATTCGACGTGATATTCTGTAGTGCCCAAACTCTGCAACCATTTTCAACCATAGAATATAGAGGTTGGTAGGAGCGACAGACAGTCTGTCGCTCCTACCAACCTCTAAATGGAGCGTACTCACAGAAAAATTCATCGATATGACAGCCAAGGAAATTACAACCTATGCCATCGATCGAAACAAAGAGTCTTTCTCATGCAAAATGACAGTGAATCAAAATAGCGTTGTCATTCAAAAGCTTGTTGGTGTTTTAAGACTATTTTCAGTGATATTCAGCTCAAACACCGAAAGGTTTTAGGTTTAGGTTTTGGTAAAAAAATGAATAACGTTGTAAGTCATTGTTAAACATTTAGCTTATTTAATTCATAATTGAGAATAATTACTCAGGCAGGGGACATTTCAAGTTCTAGATTGATAAAATAAAGGTTTGATGAATGTTCTAACCATGTTATAACTTCAATAGAATACATTGTAGTGTTGGGAAAGCATTAAGAACAGCTAACTAAAGCCCCATTTACACTACGCTCAATTTTTGGTACGGCACGGATAAAATTGGTACCCGTACCACTTTTTTGGTTCTTGGACTACCTATTTAGGTAGTCCAAGAACCAAAAAGTGGTACGGTACCAAAAATTGAACGTAGTGTAAACGGGGCTTAGCTAAATAGGTAGTCCAAGAACCAAAAAAGTGGTACGGGTACCAATTTTATCCGTGCCGTACCAAAAATTGAGCGTAGTGTAAACGGGGCTTAAGGTGTTCAATTCAAATCTTCTGTTGCAGCTAAGGAAAGATTTTAATTTCATCAAATAAATCCAGCCTGGCACACGTGAAAGGCCCCTTGCATGAGTTTTTTAAAGACTAAAGTGCACTTAACCTCAACTGATTCGCTTTTAACATGTCATTCCCAAGAACCTTTGAAATGATATTGTAATTGTCTCTGAGTTATTTCAGTTTTATCGATATGAATATGTTCGGAATTTACGTCACATATCAGTGGATAATAACTGATCAAAGAATGTAAGCACTAAAGACTAAAGTACAGTTAAATATCATGAAATAAAAAGAATACATGGTGTTTTACATAGGTATGTAATCCTCCCACAACTCCAAACTTCATTTTCAATGAATTAAACAAAAATTAAACTCGATAGTGAATACGATATACAAGCTTTTACAGCAGTACCGTAGCCAGAACGATAATTGGGGGGGGGGGGAAATATTCATATATTCGTGTTCTGCTTTATTAATTTCTTTTGAAATCAATTGTTTTTTTTATGATATGTGAACACGAATATATGAATATGTGCCCCCCCCTCCCAATTAGGGAGCTTTAGATTTGACTACGAGTACGACTACGAGTACGAGATTCGTCAAGCTAAACGCATGCTGTATGCTTACGCCACCCCGTACTGACGCGATAAAGTCGTAGCCGTCGCCCATCTGAGTACGAAATTGTGGAGAAACCTCGTAGCCCTCACGACGACTTTTCAAAAAAAACAAAGAAAGTTGACTTTTTTTTGTTTTCCAAAAATAATTTGTAGCATTTATATAGCGTTTATCCGGCGCAAATAATATATTAGTGCTAAATATCTGGCCTGTTTTTAATGTTATGACTTATTTACACGGTTTGTAGGGGATTTTAGTCGGCAGGAGATTTACTTTATGAAACTTTTTCTCTAGTTGTTGGTTTACTGTTATAAAAGCAACATTTGAATGGAAACGAAAACGACTACGGTAATTTCCTGGCACGCGATCAAATCTCGTACTCGTAGTCGTACTCGTAGTCAAATCTAAAGCTCCCTACTGAAGCAAAGAAAACTACGAACACTTGTGGAAATATTGCAACTGTATCAACGTCAAAGTCTGACTCTAAAATTTCCAACGACTGGTATAGGGGGATGAAGCTAGATGTCGATTGGTTGTTAGATGCTGCGAAGTGCCTAGTGTTGAAGAAAGAAATAAAAGATAAAAGAAAGAGACCAACTGTTACATGCTTATTATGTAACAAGTACGAATTTCAGGTACGAAAGATGACCTCAAATTGTCAGTTACCAATAGCAAACGGTGTACGTGTTGATGGAAAGGACAGACTTAAACATGTTGTTGATCACTTACTTTCTCCAGCACATGAGGAAGCCGAACGATTGAATGATTGCGACAAAACTTGGTGTGATAAGTCCGATAAGCATCCTTGGGTAAGAGTTTTTAAAAAGTGGAATGACGAGAAATTACAGGGCCTGGTTCGTATTGCAATCGATGCCTACAATGACTCGCAGGTTGAAACCTTAAGTGCTCAAAGCTGGCCCTCAAGATCCCTTGCAGTAGAGCACAGTAATCATGTGTTGCACCACTTTGAGTCACAGGGATGGAATGCTGACTTTGTACCTTTTGATCCACCAGCATCCTGTTATCACTATAGAGATCCAATGCTTTATGCAAAATAAGAAACATCATTGCAAAACAAGAAATGAAAAAAGTTGCACAATTGTTAAAAGACTGCTTGTGTTACTAGGTGCAAATTGATGGAAGTGCTGACAAGCAGCAAGTTGATTCCAAGTTTATAACTGCTCGGTATGTGCCATGTGATGAAGTCAGTGTTAAAACAGTGTTTCTTGGTATTGCAAGTAGTGATTTAGGAGGAGCTGAGGGGCTGTTAGATTCTTTCACAACATGTATTGAAAACATTGGCATAAACACTGCTAAATTGGTTGGTGTTACCACTGATGGAGAAAATGCAAATACTGGAAAAAATGCTGGTTTATGGAAGCTTCTGCAAGACTATATCGGAAGAGATATTCTGACAATATGGTGTGTCTGCCATCGATCTGATTTGGCACTTGAATCGGTTCAGGCTGAGGTTCCTGAGCTCACGATATGGATGTCCAATGTTCTTGCTGTTGCAACATTCTTTCGAACATCTCCTCGCAGGACAAAACTACTTCATAAGGTTTGCTTTATGTTATTTTTTTGTGCATTTAATTAATATACACTATTTTCCAAATCTTCTTTTTACTGCATGGTTGATTTTGTACGTTGATTATTGATACTGTTTTCTATCATAGTATTTAAATCTGCTCTTTGTTCCATTCAATTTTCTGAATAGGTTGAAGAAAAGTGCCTTTCCTTTCCCAAACATTTTGATGTCAGATTTTCTGAGCACACAAGAAATCTACTAAATGCTGTACTGCATAACTTGGATGCTGCAAGAAGAGTTTGGCAGGATATGGTAGATGGCACAATAGAGAGCAATAGTAAGGAAAAGCAAATGGCTAAAGGCTTCATTGAAAAGTGGTATAAGGGATCAAGACAGGTAGAGTACTCAGTACGGTCAGAGTGTCAGCACACTCAACTGGGTAGCAATTTGTGAAGGAGTGACTAGGCATAAAAATACTTTCAGATTTCAGAATGCTTGTGGGATACGGCAATGGTTGTTACATGCATAATTAATTTCAATTAGAAAATAAACTTTTGAACGCCTTTAGAGTACGATTACAAAGACTTGCTTGTTAACGTGCTTTGTTTTTTCTTTGTACTCTTTAGGTATGGCTCACAGCTGTCATGTTTGATCTCTGCACAATCTTTAAGACATTACAGAAGTTGTTTCAGAAATCAAACTTGATTCTTCCAGATGTGTTAACAGCAAAAGATTCTGCTATGCAGAACTTGAAGATTATGAATGACATACCAGTTCCAGGGGGGAAAGAGGAGCAGAATTTGGAGTTGCACGATAATGAGCAAGGTAGACCTGTGAGACGAACCAGTACAGCACATCAGTTTGTGACAAGCCAAAACAGGAATAGCAATGCTATAAGGAATGAAATC